TGCAGGACATTAAGTCATGATGACACAGACATGAAACCAGACAACGTGTCCTTTCAGACCATGAAAGCCTCGGACATGTGAATGCATGAGCAGCATTGAGCAGAAGGATGCAGGACTTCAGGCCCAGACATCACCGAAGGGGAAGAAAGTGCTCTTCCCACTGCTAGAACATCTCAGTGATTTCACCAACTTTTCCCCAGTACTTAAGGTAAATACATCTCCACTTCTCATGACCTCAAGCGTTAGACTTTGTAAATATGACAGTTCTGCTTACACACACAGAGCCAGCACTGCTCAGTGAGCAAGCACACTGCGAGCTGCAGCAGCTGCACTTGAAGGCACAGAGAAGCTGACTGCTCCTGAGCACAAAGCCACCAGGATTTACAGAGGGGACCTTTATCAAACAGTATTAAACAAGCTAAATTCAATGCTCCGGTTACTATGCTACAGTAGATTAAGTGTCCATCCTGAAATGTAAAAGCTCCACTTAACCCCAGACAGATTCCCATTAAAATTAACTACTTTCAGGATAAGTTCAGCTCAACTCTAATGTTTGGTGCAGACCCTAATAAAGTACTACGCTTTCTAACATTTCTTTTTTCATAGCTGAGAAGTATGTAAAAGCATTCATTAAACTTAAATGGGTTCATTAATAAAATATTGAGGATGTGCTACTTTAAGACATCGGAAAAACGTATAAATTGGAGAGAATGTTATTTCTATTTTTAAATACATCCCACAGAGGCACCCAAGATAGATGAGAAGTGCTAAGCCCATCCCACAAGCTTATTTATTTATTTAATACTTAGGTGCTATTTTTAACTGTAGAAGACAGCAGAAGGCATCCGTTAGAAAAATTACATTGGTTTTGATATTTCCTCACCTTCCCAGGTGAGAAAATGCCAAATGCAACATTAAAAGATGCATTTCCTCCTCACTTCCCACCAGGTTTTTGGAATGAAAGGGCAACTCCCCTCCTACAGGCTAGCATCTCTAGCTGCTGACCACCACCACTCCTTGCTCCAAGCCCCTCTTCCCACTCCTCCAAAGGCATCATTCTGGCAGTGGCACACAGCCTGTAAGTGCACACAGCGTGTCAGCACAACGGGGAGAGGCAAAATGCAAAGCTATGGCTTTGTTGCTCTGTTGTGGTAGTACTTTTTTAACCCTCAGTCGTACAAAGAAAATAAAAGAGAGGAAATGCCATAGGCTCACATTAACGTACTGCATCATTCTATTTTTTTCACCAAATAAATCTGTCTTAGTTGGTGCCTGTAACACAGTTTCCCTTAGGAATCCACACTCTTTGGTGAGCTATGAAATCAAAGAAAGAATGTCTCATCCCCATCTGTCAAAAAAAGCCCTACCACAAATACAGATTTTCATGTACTGAATTACCAGAACTACACTGTCAAACTCAGAAAAAATAGTCTTGATGTGATTCCTACACTTCATCTTCCTAAATGCTTGCTTTCCTGTAGGAAATACAATGTTTTAAGCAGTCTAGGCAGCCGATTTCCTATTTTCCTCTCATGTGAAGAAGCAAAAGTTCAGCTCCAGGGAGGCACAACGACACTCCTGGGCAGATCCTATCGGGGTTTGTGGTGGAGTAGAAGACAAAACAGGTGGCTATGTATACATCTTCTCTAAGAAGGCTCTGCAGGCATTCAGTTTGCATCCTAACTCTGAATAAGAGACAGCCTGAACTGGCAGTGCCTTTGCTGCATGGACAAGTAAATAAGCAGCCATGGGAAATAAGAAGGGTGCCAAAGCTGGATGCGAGAGGTGACACCTGCCATGCTGCAGCGTCAGTGCAGAGAGCAGGGAACCCCACAGAGAGAGCTACTGGCACCGGGAACAGCTCTGCATCACATTTGTGAGCACACATCTAAATTGTGGTTGGTGGCACAAAGCAGGTATGCACAGAATTCAGTATTTAATGCACACGCAGCAGCCAGGTTCCTCATCAGCTTTAACAACTCCCTTCTTTTTAAATTTTGCACAAGCTGAGTTCTAGTAAATAAAAATGTGGAGAGTTTTGGTGTCACTTGGAACATGGGGAGTTTGTTTGTTCTACCTACCTGGAGACAAGCTCAGCTGACAACAGGAGCCCTGCAGATGGAAGGCTTTCATTCATCATCTGTTCATGCATGACACCAACAACGCTTGCTGACTAAGAAGCACTTGAGTTCCTACAGAAAGTTGGTTGCTTCCTCTGTAGTGGAAAGGTTGCACAACAGAGAACTATGCAAGCAGCTGATGCATGAGACAAGTGTCACAAGCAAAAAGACAGATAAAAAGCAAGTAACTCAATTTTGCGGATACAAAAATCACTGCACTGCACTCAAGATTTTGGATAAATACTCAAAATGTTCTCTGTGTTTGAAACCTGACCAAAGGCCAGGTCTGCCTAGGCAACAGATGCTCTAATACAAGCTTGATTCCTAGCTTATTTCTGAAATATTCGGAATATTCTGTATGTGGGCCTCAGAAAGCAGACTACAGTCTGTCAGTAGTAGGCAGTAACCTGAGCACACTGTCTGCTGCAGAGCCAAAACTTCAGGGTGCACATACCTCTTCCCCCTCAAGTATTACACTCAGTGACAGTGAAAGGGCTTGTTTCCAGGGCAAAGCATTTATCCTAAATTCCTCAGACTGCCCAAAGAAGAGAACTGAGAGCTATCTGCCTAATTTCAAACTTTTGCTTGCAACCAGAACGCGCTGGGACTTAATGCCTGAAACTCTGACTGGGCTCAGCAAGCAGTTATTCAAGAAATTAAGTTATTCAAAATTTGGACTACAGAACTACATACAACACAACCTCTCCTTGGAAGTGAAGGACACACAAGTGACACCATCTCAGAATCCAGACACTCTCTTCCCAGCAGAGCTGAACTGCTGAAACTTTCCCATTTGAATAAAATCCTCCTCTGCAATTACAAGCTGTTGTGCCACTCTGACGAGTGGAAGCAGAGACCTAACGTGTCAAGGAGCTTCTCTGCATGACTGGATGCCATGAATTTAACATTTCCCCTGGAAGTGCTGTTCACATGTACGCTTGTGCAACATTTAAACTGAATACATACTCTAATGCTGTCAAAATAGCTCATTATCAGGGTCTTGTCAAATTCCAGAGCTGCATTACACAAATAATACCCTCTCTCCACAAAAGCATGCTCTGTGATTCAGATTATCTTTTTCTAAAACAATTATGTTTCTGTCAGTCTGGCATACAGTCATAACCAGCATCAGACCCTCTGTGCAGAGCAAGCATTCACAGAGAGACTGTTTCCCACAATTCAACCTGGAGAACAGCTCATATTCACAGAAGGAAACCACTGTGGAAGGTAATCTATATTTTGTAACATTTTTCTTTTGGCAAGTAAGCAAGACAACACAGTGGCTGTTTTATGCCTCACAAATCTTCAGTTTCTGAGGCATTATTCCCATGTATTTGAATGGTAACTTAAAATGACTGCCATCTTCACTTACCCACTTTGCCAGACCCCTCTCACCCATACAGCTCCCAGTAGCTCATATGCTGCCTCAACACCCAGTTTCTTCCAGGACATTTTCAGCAACTCAGATGTTTTGGAAGGACAAAAATTCAGAAATGCTATCTACCTATTTAGAAGGAGAACATTTTGTTTCTTGGACGCAATAAACGTAATATGTTATTTAAAATATAGTATTGATAAATAAAATCAAGAAGCCTGAGAGGTAATAGTTGGTATGACAAACAGTTGCAGAAAGGTCTTCCGACATCAGTTCCACTTTAGAGAAAGGAGTTTATCTTTTGAAAATCATACTAGCTTGTAAGTAAGTGAATTAATTTTCTCTCTCCAATTGATTAGGACTAATTATTGACATAACTGTAGCAGGTTTGTATAAGAAGCAGCGAGATTTCCTCAACATTGGCAGGTTCTGAAAATAATTGACAAAGTCCTCTTTAAAGCTGCTTCAGAAACCATTTCCATACGTGTAACTGCCCTCGAAGCTATCAATCAAGCCAGCAAAATACAAACCTCCTTGAAAACAAACAGTGTTCTAGAGGACTACAATGCACTGCCCATGAATTATGGAAAAGACAGGTCATATTGCAGCTCTGAAACTTTCCAACCTCTTACAGACTGAGTGCTGAACAGGAGTGGGAAAATCATCCCAAGGCACAACAACTTGCAATGTTTCATGCTTCTATATGGAAAAAAAGACATCCAGACCACTAAACCCAACCCTTCCAAAGGAAATGCAAGATAAACAGTGACTTATGGAAACTGAGATCCTGAACATCACCAATAAAAGGATAAAAAAAAAAATAATAGCTATATGAGTAGCGAACGTCATGAAGATTAATTAGCACAGAAAGTAAGGTGTAAAATCTTCTAAATTCCTCTTCCCAGGAGACCCAAGACTGCATAAATATAGCGTTGTTTATAAAGCATTCAGTTCCATGTGTCTGGGGCAACAGCTCATTTTTTGGTATAACCCTCTTTATTCCTTCCCCCCCCCAGTTTTCTCTCTTCCATATTTGTATTTGGCATAAAGGGAAGTGATTCTATTCAGAGGGGCAGAGTGAATAAGAACAGAACCTGAAAAAAATAGAATTTGGAACAACACTGTGAAAGGGAAAGCAACTAAAATGCTGAGTGCTTACAGTGCATCCTGCACAAAAGCTTACAGCAGATTGCCAGCACCAAGAGTTTGGTTTTTCATACTCTCAAGAAAAGAAACTTTAAGAACAAATTTAAGCGCCACAGACTCCCATAGGATCAGGAAAAAAGCAACTGCCTTGCAAAGGTTGACTGGAAATACTGATTCTTTGAATGTCCAAGTGTTCTACAGGATGAGGGAAAGATAAAACTGTTAATCATAGAGATCAGACACTTAACCTGCCCGTTTTAAATCTGTTGCATGCCTCAAACGATGTTCAGATTAAAAACTCATTAGCTAAACCTTCTGTTATGCTTCTCACAGGCCACACCCACGTCAGCTGAACCTACCATGTGGTAGTGTTATGTTTGCACCATCAATGATTGCTTGTGCCAGTTCATGATCATTGCTCTCAAAAGCGTGTGCAGCAGCCTTGAGAGCATCCCAAATCTCCTTGCGACCTTCGAAAGCTGGTGCTGTGTCCCAAAACTCGTCTCTCTTACTGCGCAGCTGTCCGTCCGTCATGGGGTAATCACTTTTCCATTTTGGTTTCTCTTTTTTCAAGGGCTGATTACGACCAAGAGCAACTGTGGGGTAAAAAGAGAAAGAGAAGTTTAGAAAAAAAGTAACAGCACAAAGTTACTCCAGTATTCCTTGGTTATTTTACGAAGACAAAGCTTACTTTTGGGCAACCCTAATCCTTTTTTTCCCCCACCAACCTCCTCCACGACATCATCTTCCTCCTGCTGGGCTCCAATTTTTAAGCTCTCCAAAGCAGCCCCACATTTTGCTCAGCTAATGCAATGCTCTGTTAAATGCAGACTTAAGAGGCTAAGATTTTTTTTTTTTTTTTTTTTTTTTTTTTTGCTCACCTTCTCCTTTTAAATTGTTCTAATTCAGAATAAGTGGGGAAAGGCAAATAAGATGCACGAACACTGCTGAAGATGAATCCCTGAAGAATATCCAGGATTCTGTCAAGCTTTAATGAGTAGTTACTTCATTCACAATAAACATGAGAGTGTTTGTTTTATTTTAACTACAGTTATGTTTATGCAAAAGCCAGTTAAGATAATCACTTAGGTCTAATGTTGGTGGATTAAAACTACCTGCTCGCTTTAAATTACAGCACTGCTGAGAGCACACTAAAAACCTTCTTCTGTCTGTCTGTTTCTGCAAGCAAGGTGTTATTTCAACTCCTGCCCAAGCACGATGTCCAGAGGTGCCTGGGAGCAGGGTGAATGCCTCTTTCCTGTACACAGAATAGGCTCTGTCCTTAGTATCTGCCCCAGACATATCCTGGTGACAGAAAGAACCCATCATTTGGGTTCTTCTGTTGTGGCTGATGTGAGAAAGCTAGAAGACATCCATTCCAAGTATAAAACATTTCATGAGCACTTAAATGAGTGATGGCAACCAGATACATATTACTAGCTTCCATCGTGCTACAAAAATGAAAATGAAAATTGTGCTTTCTAAAAATTGTTTCACATGCTTTATTCGGCAGAAACTAAAAATTACATCCAGCTGTGCAACACTGAGATGCACCAGGGAAACTTTTATTGCCATCTGAGGTACAAAGACAAAGAAGGGACTGAACTTCGGTGCACACAGGGTAGAACTTCTCCCTGCAAGAGTCAGAGCCCCACTGGCAGCAGGAACCTTGCTGAAGTGGGACTTGGTGACAGCAGCACGGGAAGAGAACAATGACAAACCACAAAAACAGCTTTCACCACCACAAAACCTCGAGTACATAGCTTACATCTCTCCAGAGGAAGCAAGATGTCTGCAGCAGCCACACTGCAGTTAAGGGTGTTTGCAGCTGAAAATAAGCAGCTGCATCAACACAGAGAGGTCACAAACACTAGATGATGGCTCCAGAATGTTCCTGAGGGACAGGTAAATGCTAGTAGGAGTACCACTAAGGATCCCACCATGACATCCCTTCTTTGTGAAGTGTCTGGGCAGTCCCAGGAGAGCAGAGGGACTGCAGCTGCTACCATGCTATGGAGCAGACCTCCTGTCACCCCACATCTGCAGAGCTGAGGCCTGAACACCTCACATGGGAATGTGGTTTCCCAGCTGCTGGTAGGCTGAGATCAGGCTCCTGGTTAGTCTTCAAGGACCAGAGAGCAGCAGGACAAACACAGGCTTACCTTCAGCATCCTGCACCCCCCAGCTGTCCTTGCCACATAAACATGTGCTCTGTCTTTCTCCAGACCCTCTGATTTTTCTGTCAGAGAGTTGGTAATAGCTACCAAACAGCCCTGTATCTCCTTCTAGTCTTACTCTAGAGCTCAGATTTTGAGGGAAGGATAATCTCATGTCTAAATATTCTTTACTACTCTCAATCCAGACGTACACTGCATCCCAGGTAGCTAGTGATAAGAGGTGATGGCCTTAAGTTGCACCAGGGGAGGTTCAGGTTGGACAATTTACTCTCTGAAAGAGTGGTAATGCACTGGCATAGGCTGTCCAGGGAGGGGGTGCAATCACCATCCCTGAGGGTGTTTAAAGGAAAGGGAAGCTGTAGCGCTGAGGGACATGGGTAAGAGCAGTCACAGGCATGGGCTGATGGTTGGACCTGATATCTTAGTGGTATTTCCAACCTTAATGATTCTATGATGCCCACATTTAGCTGCAGCACATATTTTCGCATTCTATTACAGTTCTTTAGCACAGGTGTGTGGGAGGGATGGGGAAGAGACATGAATGAGAACACCAAATTCCAGTATGTCAGAAATACTAGCCTCAGGTGAGCTGTAACACTTTGCCTAAACATCCTACTCCGATATTCCTTCTCCCCCCTTATTTTTTTCCTGCCACAGATGTGTTCAGCTCTGCTTTCAGGACAGCAGTGGGCAGCGAGCACTGCGTCTCAGGACCAACCACCAGCATCTGGTGATGCAGAGGGCAATCTGACTTCACACAGTCCTTAAGGAGATTAAAACACAATCATTAGAGCTTGCCCCCTTATACAATCTGATTTTCTAGGACCACAGAAGCATCTACTTCAAATCATAGCTCAGAATGATATTCATACTTAAGAAGCAGTGACATAAGTCATTAAAAATAGAGCATTTAATGAAAGTTATGATGGCAAGGTGACACTTCCAACTATGTGAAGCCATGAGCCTCCTTCAAATTAAAAAAGAAAATTATGGTAGAGAATTTATTTGCATGGAAACTTAAGTCAGATCACAATCAAAAGTAGCAAATGACAACTGCTTGGCACTCCAGACATTATTCTGTGTCCCATCCAGAAACTAACAATAATAAACTTCTGAAACAGAATCCTTTCAAGTGACCACAAGCATTTACTGCCTGTTGTTTCCATGGGATTGCTTCCACAAGATTGCTTCCATTTGCTTTTCAAAGAAGTGCTGACCATTTAATAGACTTCAAAACAGCAAACCTAAGTGTTTACAAAACACCAAGTTTCCTGGCAAGGTCCCCATGTTAATGGTCCAAGCCTTGGTTGGGCACATGCGGGCTGGGAGCTGATGATGGCTCAGCAAAGAACAATGGCAAAGGATGGAGTCCAGACAAGATGCACTGCATGCATTAAACAGTATGTTATGAAACTGTAAAAGCATATGTGGTAAAACACTTGAGCAAGGAATTGTTTCCTTATTAAGACTTAACAGTCAGAGCATGGAAATTTCAGACAGACAGAATAAACAGGACAATGCACCAAATTTGGGTCAGTGGGCATCTTTTCTTCCATTTTGCTTCAGCTAACATCTGTTAGCATGTATGTTCAATGGATGCTAATTTATCCCACTGGGCCCTCTCCTCCTGCCCAACATGAATTATGGAAGCAGGCTAAAGGCACTCCTGCAGTCCCAGAGCTGCATGAGGCTATTTCTCTCTCCTTCCCATCTTTCCCTGCCCAAGACAGCACCTGAATAGATGGGTCTTCACCAGGCAAGAGCAGCAGAGACCAAAAGAGACAGAGACCTCAAGTAACTTTTCCCTAGAAATACAACCCTGCCTAGAGATGATGAACAACCCAGAGATAACTTCTCCTTCCAAGCAGGAAAGGATGGTGGAAGCTGTCCATGCCAGCACTAAGCCTTTAAACACAACTTGGCTTCATGAACTAGTATTCAAAAAGGTCCTTAATGTGTTTACTATTTATTGGAAATGCTTCAAGAATCCCCTAAAAGCTTTAGGCCCTGCTGAAGAAATATTCATCTCTCTTCAGCTGTGTGAATAGATGGAGCAGAAACGACATGAAAAGCAGTAAGACGTGTAAAAAATGTGATACGTGAAATAGCTAAAATCTCTCATTTTCCACTTCAACTTTCAGTCACTAGACAGAAACATCACTACATGAACTTGTATCGTCAAAGTTTTAGACAACATCAAAGCTGTAATAAAGCTGATAAAGATGAGTTAGAATCCACACTGAAACGAACGTTAGCAGTTTGTCAGGTATTTACAATGCCATTTTTATAATCCTCACTTCAGAAGTTAACTACAGCTCAGAAGAGAATGTTGACTTCATTTAAACCACATATATCAGAGTCACAACATCTTACAAGGTCTCAAATAGACAGTCACATCCACATTAAATTTTCATCTTACATCACTCCAACATAACTAAGAAATTATTAATATCCTTCTTGAAAATGTGAAACTGTTTTCTAAATGCCAAAAAGGCACACTCTTTCTAAAGCAATATTGAAAGTCTCAATAGATGGCAATGGTTGATCTTTTGGCAAGTGATTTATTTAGATGGAAATACAAAGACCATTAACAGTCTACTTTTCAAAAAGACAAAGGTCAGCACATTAGTGACACCTCAAAAAAATATATTTGGAGTTTTTTTGCTCTGGGAGCGCACAGAGACTTGAATTTCCTAGGGCTCAGAATGCAAAGGAGGGAAAAAAAAAGCCTGCCTACTGAGATCCTGGAGGATATAGGGGGTCAGGGCAGAAGGGATGGTTGCAACCTGCTGTTCCCACACATGCAGAATCCAAGCACTGCTTGAGTCTCTACCCAGCCAAGTGCCCTTTACTGGGCTGTTTCATCCCTGAGAGCAGCCTAAGACTATTTCAGAGAGGCAAATAAGCTGCTTGTGCAGCAGTACATGACATTTTCACTTCACAGGTAGAGGATACCCCCGAATCTTAGAGGCAGCTCCTACTGCAGGTCCTGTTAACCAAAGTCCTGAAATAATGCAAAATCTTATTTTTCAGAAGAACAGATCTATTACCCCCTGTCCTCTCACACTATTTCATAACATGAATTCTGAAGGTTTGTTTCCTCTCCCCAAGGTTACTGGCACAGCAATGGAATCAGTAGGTTATCTATGCTTTGAGTGAGCTTACGCAGATGAAACCAGATATTTAAATCAGTTTCTTCACAGAATGTCAAAGTGTCTGCATAGAACTCTTTTCAGACAGCTGCTGTGTTTGTAATGCCACTGTCACTGCAGAGCACAACACTGCTGCCTCCTCTGCAGTGGGCCAGATGAGCAGAAGCAGCTGGTAATGAAGTCTCATACTAAATGCCAATATCCAGTTAAAGCACTCATAACTCCTAGTTTATAAACTCATGAACTGTAGCCCTCGATAATCAAATG